CCCAATCGTCAATAAACAATTTGTAGAGGATGGAGGCCTTGGTATGGGTGTAATGTCATTCTTCCATAGGCGATTGTAGAATTGATACTTTGGGATATCTATTCTTTTTCGTTTTGAGGACTACGGGAGGTAAACTAATAAAGAAGGTTAGTTTATGAAGATGAATGAGAAGATTCAATTAGGTACATCAACGCCCCTATACCATCCATACACCCAGACTTAAAAGGACTCGGTCGTAGACACCAAAGGACACTTGAGTACGACCTCTATGTGAATATGCGAGATCCCAAGGTAACAAAATGCGGCAAGAAACATGACCTTACGGCAGCGCTGTGTAACACCATGACGGCTGATCAGTCACAGACAGGTCGGATAGGAGCTCGCTAGTCAAACAAGTCGGGTTTGTTATTTGTTCCCAATCTGATATTCTCCACCCACGTATTACCTCCTCTCATATCCAACCCCCATTTTGTAGTGTATCATTATCATATCCCAGAGGACGGGTGCCTCCACTTCTGCTTGACATGAAATGAACGGTTTTTAAGCACCATTCCGTCAGCGACTCTTGGCCACCCAACTCCCAACTGTCCTCCAATCAACTCAACTCCTTCTGACAAGAGGTTATCGAGACGACCACTCCTTATCAAAAAAGACTCTTCATCCATCGTTCACACCCTCTTGGTCCCGCTTGGATCATTCACTCACACCCACCCTCGCCGGGATTCAGCTCGGCCAGTCTTTATACACCTCGCCTCCTTCCCTCGCCCCCTCACATACCCCAAATGTCCAATCAGACCCTCGCCCCAGCCTCCCCATCAGCCAGGGCCTTCTGCCTCGCCGCATTCAACGCCTTTAACTTGGCCGTCCCCACGCCTGCCACACCCTCACTCTGATCTGCGCCCAACCACGGCTTCTTGGAATCACCCAGCACGCTTCCAGCCAGGAAATACACCACCAGTCCCAAGATAATGCACACAAAGGCAATGGGATACATAAAGTGAATGACATACTTGAACACCTTGACACCCACAATGACGCCCCAGAAGTTGGCCGTCAAAAGGGAAATGTCGAAAAAGGCGGCGCTGCCCATGCGCAAGATCAGGGGAGCGAGGGAGTAGAAAATCAGCATGGCGAAGGTGTAACCGACTAGATAGCCGGCCACAGGGCCGTTCCAGGTAGCGTCGGTGGCGGCCTGTCGGTCGAAAATGGCGGCCTGGACGCCGTTGATGATGACGCCGAAAAAGCCCAGGAAGGAAATGACTTCGTAAACGGGCCGTTTGGAAACGAACCACTCTTCGTAGACATTGGAGATTCCGTACAAGGTGGCGCCCAAGAGGCCAAAGAGGTCGCCCTTGAGCATGTTCACTCCGGGACCTCCGTTGGAACCGGTGATGTGGTCCGAAGCCAGCAGGATGCCCATGCCGCCGCAGCAAATCAGGATGCCCCCGATCTGAAACCATTTGTACCGCACTTTGAGGAGGGCAAAGGAGATGATGACGACGCAGACAATGGACCAGAAGTTGAGGAGTTGTGCTGACAAGAGGTTGGTGTAGCGGTAGGCCAAGACGGTGAAATAGTTGCCTTCGACATCGAGAAAACTGAGAATGAGGTACTTCCAGCTGTTGCGCCAGGTTTGCTCAAAGAACTTGCGAGGGCCGCCGGTCTTGTAAAGGGCAATCGGGAAGTAGACGAGAAAGATCAAGGCGTAGACAAAGATGGTTTGGATAGCGGGGATCGAGGTTCCCAGCTCGCTAAGGAAAGAGGAGAAGGTGTTGGTTGCCGTGATGCAGAGAGAGAGAATTTGCCCGATGAGGATGACCAGCCAGAAGTCGACGGTTAGGAGGTACGAGTACCAGTGCACATTTTGCGCTTCGAGCTTCTGAATGCCGAGGGCGACGAGGTCAGGTTCGTCAAGGCCGGTGAGGACAGCATTGTTGTTGGGAGCGGCGCCGCTGGTGTTGGAGGTGGTCTGCTCGGCGGTGACGAGGGTGGTGGCGCCGTAGCTTTTGACTTGGGTCATTTCCGGCTCGGAGCTGGAGGGGGTGATGGTGTTGTTGGCCATTTTGGGCAACGGAGTGGGGTGGTGAGCTGGTGGATCCCAAGTTCCAAAAGTCACGTTTGTGACGATATTGCTACTTAGTGGTAACAATACTTGTGAAACGCTGATGGAGAACTTCTATTGCAGGTTTGTATAGCAAGAGCTCAATCTCGGGTCTCAGAGGTATAACGTCTACCGTAGGTACCAGTTCAGCTCCAACAAGAGGAGTGGTGAGGATGTTTTCTGTTCAAACTGTTTCGTAGTTAAGACGAGTCGTTGTTTATCTTGTGTATAACACAATTGGCAATGACTCGCTCAAGTCTTTCCTACGTCTTTGGAGCAAGCGCAAAGACTTGAAGTCGCCTGCTCTTCTCAAATTTGGTGCTCGTGTATGACTCGGCACAAGTAGGCCTCGTTTTGTGCCGAGTTGCTAGGGGAGTCGGAAGACGCCGATGTCGTGTTGTACATGTGATTGTTGTCGTGGGAGCTTTAGGGGTGACTGAGAGAGTCGGATCCAAATTGGTCAACCCAGGTGAGGAACGAGTTGCGGGCGATTGTTGTCACTAAGGAAGAGAGAGATGATAAAGATGAGCGAAACGGTCTTTCTTTTCCTATGGTAATAGCTACAATAAGGAAGAAAGGGTGGGAGAAGAGGTGGGTGATGGAAGTCCGTGATGGAAGAGTGAAAAAGAAAAGAAGAAAAAAACAGCAGACAACGTGCTGGGGAAAGAGTGTGGTTGATATACTCTGGTGTGCAGATGAATGACCTGCACGATAGGGCTACGCTATGGGTCTCTATCAGGTGCTAGACCTCTGCCCAGTACATATGCGGCAAGATATTGAAAAATTCGGGCACTCCCGATTTGCAGATGGCTAGGCGTGAGAAACACGTTTTTTGTTAGCAAACAGATCGGCGACCTTTTTCGCCTTTTTTTGCCTTTTTCCTCCTCTGAGGCGGACGGTCAGTCCAGTTGGGGGAAGAGGAGCCGTAGAAAGAGGAGCTGGTCAACGGATTAAGCTCCTGAAAAGAGTTTTCTGGACCGGGCTCTGGCCCCACCACCACCGGAACGGACCCACTGGAGGCTCTCGGCCCTGACTGGGATCCTGGCTGTTGGGACTGGACGAGCAGGCGGGGAATGTTTGCCCGTCATCCCGGCGGGAGGGGTTCACGGGGGTTTGCCGCGTGGAAGGCGCACGGCCGCCGACCTCAACCGGCCCCGTCCCGTCGCTGTTACCAACGTCTACCGATCGGCACCCGACGGGTTTGACCACCTTTCCTCGATTACCTATTTACTTTTACGACGAAATTTGTAGCTGTATGCGAACCAAGTGGCGATGCTATACAGCGGCAGAACCAAGATGATCAAGTACATTCTATAACCCATCCCATTTCCCCGTCACCTTTAACCCCCGCCCCGATCTGGCCATTCTACCAGCTCCCATTCCTCCTCCTCCTCCCCATCCTCCTCCCTCGTGAATTGGGCTACCAACGCTTCAACTCCCCGCCTCGCCAGATCCATAACCTCTCTCGACGCGCCCCGAACAACCCTCGTGATATTATCCATAGCTTCGTTTATTTGACCCTCTACATCCCATTCCCTGTCTTCCTCTTCCTCTTCCTCTTCCTCCTCCTCTACGTCGCTACCACTTTCAATTCCCAGCACCTCCTCCTCTTCATCCTCCCCATCAACCTCCCCCTCGAGCTCCCCCCTCTCAAGTCCCTGAACCCGTTCAATTAACCCCCCTACCACCTCCCTCACCCATTGTTCTGGAACCTGTTGCGTCAACAAGTCCTTTGACCACTGCGTTAACCCTCTGACCATCTCCTCCTTCCTCTCCTTTTCCCTCTGTTGCCTCCAGGTGGCCATAGCGGCTTCCCTTGCTTCTTCTGAAGTACCTTCTCCGAAATCCGTGACAGTTTCCGACACAGCCTCCGCAATAGCATCATAAACATGATCAGGATCATCTCCAGCGCGAGTCAAAACCCGGACCAGCCTCATATCTCGCACCTCGCTCAGATGCCTGTGCAAAGCATCACCCGCTGTTTCGGGGAAAGCAGCTTGTCTGGCAGCTGAATGCTGGAGGAGGTCGTGTTGAAAAAAGTGTATCTGGACCTCGGGGAGGTTTCGCCGTCTTCTTCTGGTTGTGCATGTTTGGGCTTCTTCGCTTTCGCGGGTGAAGATCATGGGTATACCTAACGGACGAGGTAGAAGGGGATGTGGTTGACCACGTTGACGGGGTCGACCATGTTGAGAAGCTTGGGAGTGGGATAGGTGTTGGCGGTGGAAGCAAGCGTATTGCGTTTCGGTGAGGAGGTAGACTTGGCCCCAGACTTGCGTGCGGAGGTCGTTTTCGACATGTTGGGCTTGGGCATGGTTGTGAACTTGAGGATGGGAGTCGGAGACGGTGGTAGAGGTGGATTCGAAGGATGTGGCCGAGTTGTCCAGGTCGGTGGAGGGAATGGGAGCAGGATGAGTTGGAGTGCTATTTGGCTCGGGCCAGGCACCAGCTACTTGAGTGGGGAAGGGCGCGAGCGCGGACCTAGACCGTCGTCGAGAGATGGAATGTCTTCTTGAGCAAGGACTGATGGTAGATATGGCAGGAGATATGCTGAAAGATCTGGCGATGGTGTCGTTGGTGGCCGGACTTTTGGGCAGAGACGGAGATTCCAGCATTGCAGACCAAGGGCTCGTACTATTCCCGGTGGGCTGTGCCGTAATCGTCGACGTCATGGAGGAAGAGGCAGGGCGTCTCTTGACTTTGGTGATGGTCAAGTCTCCACGACGGCTAATTATCAAACTATGTCCATCGAGACGGGCAATCCCCTGTGATCGTGCATGCGGGCAGTATTTGGTTATGAACTCCTCATGGGGGATACCGATGGCCAAGATTGGGATGTCCATGGGCCACCACTTCAGGACGGTATTTCCCGTCATGGTTGTCATGCTGGGCGGGAAGCCAAAGGCGCTGAATGACATAGAAGTAATGAATGAGAGTGGATTGAATTGGCCGTAGACGAAAAGCAAGATAGTGTGGACGCCTGGTTCGAACGGAGAAACAGAAGTCAAGAGCCTAGTGGGCAGGCTCGGGCAATTTATGACTGGAAAATGTTGTGAGATGGACAAAGCCAATATGCTTCACTCAAAGGACAAGTACCGCAAAGACTCGGGGCACAGGGTTTTAGGTTCCCTGGATATCAGGCATGATATGTAAGTATACTGCCCGAATATGTGCATTTTATGTTCGCAAATAATAGTGGGGGAGATGTATTGCCACCCAGGAGCACTGTAAATACGTTTTTCCAATTTCGTGCCATTTCCTACCTCTCTTTTCATAAACGCTGGAGGGTGGAGACATTGTAAATCACCGTCTTGCATACGATTTCTGGTGGGCATGAATGTTGCAGTATGCTTCCAGATTATGCCTGATATCCAGGGAACCTAAAACCCTGTGCACCGAGTCTTTGCGGTACTGCATACCTTATCAACGCCCGACGCTGCAGCGGAAGACGAGACGGTCATCACGAAGGGCGTGGTTCCGGGTATCATTACATCTTGCAGCAGAGAGTCTCAGTGCTTCACATAAGTCAAGCAAGCTAAGTTAGCTGGGGTCATGCTTGGTCGAACTGTAAGAATTCCAGTTGGACATGACTTGTGGGGAGACCGAACAGGTTTTGAACTGAATTACTAACATTGACATGTTCGGACCAATACTCTTTCTTCCGGTCACAAGACCAGGGTTAATCTCCATCACACCAAACATTGAGATACCCTTCTCTCACTGCCACTTCCAGGGCAACGAAATTCCGTTTGATGCTGGGGTGCATCAGGCTATGCACATATATCTACGTGGACTAGAACGCACCGCCGGAAAGGTATATCAGCTCCAAAAACCTTGATCCTCTGACTAAACGCGCGCTCAAATTCGTCATTACTCAAGTCAGGACTGACCTTGAGCTTGCTTTGACTTGGCCGAATCCTAGGCACCTAGCATTTCTTTGCTTAAATTTACCCAGATTTTCCTTTGGTTGCATGCGACGTTGACTTGTGAGAAGCACTGGGCAGGACTCTCCTCCTTTCCTCCAAGCTTGTGTTGGTAACGACGTGGCCAACATTTAAGCTTGATCACAAGCATGGATTAGACGGTGCTCAACAAAATGATTGGAATTAAAGACTTGCCCAAACCCGAAGAAAAAAAATCCAAAAATAAAAAAAACCTAGGGTGCTATGCAATTATGAGAAATTCCAAAATGAACTATGTATACACTGATCGCTACTTGTTTGTTGTGCCGATGTTCCAATAAACCAAAACCTTCCTTTCTAGAGTTTCCCACTATCCCTGCCATTCTAACAAACATCCAGTTGCTGATTGAAACGATGACGCGAAGAAATATGCAGATGTACGAGACGTTCAAGTCTCTCTTCCCCTCCAATCCCACTTGAACCCCTCCAAGATTCCCTCATCTTCCACATCCTCCTCCGAGTCAAATATGACAAGTGTGACTTTGTACAAGAAGCAAACCCCCCTAACAGGTGCACCGAGGCACTCATTTATCCCACAATCTCGACAGCACCAGCAGCAGCTCCGCCAGCTAAAACATGCCGGTTCCAAAACCATCCACCAACCTTGGGTTCGGCACTGTTGGCCGTTCTGGCGCCCTCTGCTTCGGCTGCTTAACGCTCAAACCCCTCGCCACCCCAATGCCCAACACCCTCGCAACTTCTTCAGGGTCCGCTGCATCGTCTGCACCACCAAGCATGGGCGTCTGTGCCCTACTCGGTGCCCGGGGCGGATGTTGGCCAAAGATAGGCGTCATGGGCGGTGGTCTATGCGCGCCCAATGCGGTTGACGGTCTCGTGCCTATGCCTGTGTCCGTGCCGTCTTCGTAAAGTCCATCAAACGTACCGTCGATTGCGGGCGTGGTGGCCCTGCGGAGTGGTGGGGTGTAAGGGGCCTGTTGGCTTTGGTCGTGCTGCGAAGGCGGGCTGGTGGTGCTACGCGAGTCGGCGTCGGGACTGAAGTTGAAGTTGAGCGGCGCGGGAATGTGGGGCCTGTTGAGGGTCGAGGCGCGCGGGGCGGGCGGGGCGGGCTTCAAGGGCGAGATGATGGCGGGGCCGGGACCGATCATGGAGTCGGGCGTTGGAGGGCCCGTGGTTGTGAGGGACGAGGCGGAGGTCGGATCACCAAAGGTGGAGCTGGGGCTGATGTTCTGGCTCGAGGCGGTAGGGCCGAAATCGAAGTTGAAGCCGGCGTTGGCGAGCGGGCTGACGGCTGGTCGATGCGGTTCCGGGTCGGGAGTCAGGGCCGGCGTCGGCGGGTTGAAGTCACGTCGCGGAGGGGGATGGCAGAGCTGCGGAGTGTTGGATCGCTGGGGCGAGTTGAATGTGCTACTGTCGGCGGTGCCCGGGTACGGAGAGCTCATGTTGCCGCCGGTTGTGGATGCTGTGTCCGATCTTCCTGGGCGAGAAACAGGTGTCGATCGACCGCTGTACAGACTGTACTCTTCGAGAGCAGGACGACGAGTTCTGAAAGCTGCTGCCGGTGGCCCTCCTCTCCTCGGGGTTGGTATTCCATAGCCGCTACCGCCCGCACTGCTGAATGATCCGGGATGGCTCGAGATGATGGGCGTTTCAGGATCGTCCTTGGCAATCGGAGTTGGCGGGTCTTCTGCGGTCGGTGACTCGGAAAACATGTCGGCGACCATCGGGTTAGCTGCGCTGGTTCTGGTTGGAGTACGGAGCGGCGCAGGCTGGATCGATGATAGAATCGGCTCGTCATCGTCTTCGTCCTCCGACAAATGTAACTGGCTGTAAATGTTGCTAGCGGAGTTGAGGCTCTTGTCGTCAAAGCTGCGTTGCTGGTCGTCCAGGCTTCGGCCTTTCTGGGCACCGATGAGGCTTCTCTCCAGTTCTTCGATCCTCATCGAAAGACTTTGTCTTCGAGGGGAGACGACGGTCAAGGTGTCACGTCTCGCTCCGAGGGTCTTGATTATCGGCCTAGAGAAAATCGAATCATCGTCGTCAAGCAGGTGTTCTGCGATGGATTCCGGAGGCGATGGCGAGTTGTTCCTGGTTTCGGCCGCGGAGATACCCTTTGGTGACTGAACTACATCCGGTCTGGAAATAGATCTCGGACTTGCTTCATCCCCCTGGCTAGGTTTGGCCGGGCCAAGAGCCTTCACAGCGGGGCTTTGAGGACGGCTATGCAAACCAGGAATCTGCAGGCGTGGGAGGTCCCCCAAAGTAGCATGCCCGTGTGGCAGAGGACCACGAGTATCTACGCCTGGTTGTTGAGGTAATGGCTTGTTGGGCGCGGAAAGAGGTGTAGGTCCACCTGGCTGTTGAGGAAGCGGCTTGTTGGGCGCAGAAAGCGGTGTGGGACCGCCATGCGGAGGGCCTTGACGGGGAGATCCTTGAATAAGGGGGCCACGAAGGCCAGGACGCAGAGGGCCGGGAGGTCCATGTGGAGTACTATGAGGACTAGAGTGAGGGCCAGACTGGTGAGGCCCATGGGGAAGGGGCCCGCGTGGAGGTCCATGAGGAGGGGGAGTTCCATGATAAGCAGCGCCATGGGGAGATCCGTGCCGAGGAGGTCCTTGGTGAGGAGACCCTTGGCGGGGAGTGCCCTGAGGTGAAATACCATGGGGAGGCGGTCCCTGGCGTGGTGGTCCTCGGTTGGGTGTACCCGGGTGAGGAAGTCCCTGATGCGGCATCGGTCCTCGGTAAGGCGGGCCTTGGCGCGGAGGTCCTGGGTGAGGACCCGGATGGGGACCGGGTCCGCGGGGTCCTGGAGCTCCTGTGCGAGGTGCGGGTGGGTGTGGAAGGCCATGCGTGGGTGGTCCATGGCGAGGAGGACCATGGCCAGGGGCCGGAAAGGGGCGAGGCGGTCCGTTGGGGCCACTCATAGGCATTCCACCTCGGCTACCGGGTCTCTGATCAATGTTACCACGAAAGATTGGGGCGGGACCACCTGGTCCATCGTGCATCCCACCACGGCTTCCCGGTCTTTGGTCGATATTGCCTCGAAACACCGGTCCAGGGCCACCAGGCCCGCCATGCACTCCTCCTCGGCTACCTGGTCTTTCACCAATGTTCCCTCTGAACACAGGGCCCGGTCCATCCTGCATGCCGCCCCGGCTACTAGGTCTCTCGTCGATATTCTTCAGAACCGGGCCTGGCCCATTGAGGGGATCTAGCAAAGACGTATAGTGAGGTCTTGCCAAAGGCTCAGTGGGCGACATCTCGTCCGAAATCTTATCCTCCCCAACGTTTCGCTCGAGGATTTGCTGGTCTTTCGAAATCGGCCCTTGCACGTCCTCCGCATCTTCGTCCGACTGAACCAGTCTCACACCTGCCTCCACCTTCCTCTCCACTGGCGAATGAACGACGTTGGTGCTCATGGAAATGGCTGGAAAATCCGTGGCAACCTGATTCAAAGGGGACTTGGGCGCGACAGGTGCGGTAGAGGCCTTCTTTATCGTGGGAATATCGGGAAGGTCAGAACTGTCCCACGGTTTGCTCTTGGCGTTCGCAGTTTGGGGGCGCGGCGACAGAACCGGACCCGGGCCGTGTGCCAAGCTTGCCGCAGACCCGTTCATGGCGCCAAACTTGGCCCGCAGGTTCGCATCCGAGGCATAGTGTTTGACGCCGGAAGCGTTGTTGCTATGCAGGTCGGCAAGGTTGGACATGCTCGAAGTGGCGTGGTTTTGGGCGCCGATGCCGTGCGCATAGGGAGCGATGCCAGGCGGGGGAAGAATCGGGGATGCCGCTGCATCGGATCGGCTGCTTTCGTTGGTGATGGCTCGTTGCAGGGATACCGATTTCTCAGAGTCCGCACAGCTGTTGTCCCCCGCCGCTGCTCTTTCGGGCTTCCTGTTTGCGCCATCAGTATCGGTGTGGTGGTCATGATGGCATGGGAAAGATGCGTACCCCTTTTTCTTGTCGCCGAACTTGATACCGAATAGCGATACCATTTTCAAGATAAACGAGTGACTGGATTAACGAAAGATTCAAGGTTTACAAAAAACACATTACTGCGCGAAAAAAGATTAGAACTAACGGCCGGTCAGGCGGCAAGAGCAAAGACTATCACCAACCCAGCTGCTGTGATGACAATGCAAGACCACCTGTTCCTGGGTAGGTGAAGCACCGAATGGCGGAAAAGAACGTTGTTGTTGGTCAAAGAGGATTGTCTATAAACAGCCCATGTCGACGGGGAAACCGAACGTGTATGGTATAAGTTTCACAGAGTTGAGGTCTGGCGAGCCGGTCCCAGCTGTCGATGTTGCTGTTCTCTTGACTGGATATCCAAATGACTATGAGCGAGTGTCTTCAAGCTTCTCGGCGTCGTTGCGCGATCCGGGCGCGGGAGTGTAAAATGAACGTGTTGGTGTGGTCGCAGGGACGTGGATGTCGAATGGCAGCAGCCAATTGGCGACAGAGTTGGGAGAATTAGGAAAAAAATTTCAAAAATTAACTGAGAGAGAAAAGATAAAACGAGTGATCAGATCCCAAATGGGAAGGTTGTCGAATGACTGTTGTTGCCGTTGTGAAGGAGAGTGCAGTGACGGGAGAGAAAGACGGACGATAAACAAGGTTGGCAGGTTGCTGCTATCACCAGCAACCGTGCGCTTCTCGACAGGGATGGGAAGGGAAGCGGGAGAAGAGATGAAAAAGGAGGAAAAGAAGGCGGCTGTCGAGGGCGTCGTGCGGTATTTGGGATTGCGCCGTCGAATGAACGTCGCGTGGGTGGAGCGACCAGACAGGGTGCTTGTTCGCTTTTTCCGCTAGTGTAGCGTCGTGTCCAGGGGTTGGGTCAATCTGTACCTATTTATTCTGTACTTACACTAGAAGCATCTTGGTGAGCTTCCGTACCTAGCAGATGACCATCATGCCTCCCCCGTCCGAGAACAAAAATGGAACCGGATGCAATGTCATCAAATATCTGGAACGGAACCAGTCTGAAGACGGGCAGAAAATAGTCCGTAGCGCCGGCTACCGTCGCAATCCGGCCGTTGGCACATGTCCAGAGTGAAGCTCTCCCGAAGCTCCGACTCCCGCTCTCCTCAGTCTATCGTTTCATCCTCCAAGGCTTAGGTTAGTTTGTACACATGTCGCGCAGACTGCTAGCACCCCGCGCGCAACCAGCCGAACATGTCGCAAATTGTCTTTGTGTGTACATACCGCCGATACGACCAAGACAGCATCTGGTACTATCTATCCATGTTGGCAGTTGACCAAAGTCCGGGGGGGATTCGTGTTTGAATCTCGAAGGAACTTGTCCAAGTTGCGCTCCAATGAGCCAAGATTTTCCAGGGGTTGTGCCTGATCGTCAGGGGTATGCCACCGGAAATGACGTCCGCTCCTGATTCAATTGGACCGGGCCGTTGACCGTTCGTCTGACAGCCGCGGTGTCCATTGTCTGTTCATGTCTATCCCTGGGATGGGGTTGATCTCCAGCTTGGAATCCCAATGCCGCACGTGTAATGACCATGGACGGGTCTCCATCATAACATATCAAACCCAATTTCATTTGATTGGCCTTGGACTTCAGTGATGTCAGTTTTAAAGTGTGGTGCAAGTGTTGGCTAAGTACGCGGTACACTGATCAACATGCGACGATTTCGGTACGTGCCATTTGCACTGACTGGCCGGCGACCTGCCGCGCACGTGGAAAAATGCTTCACATGACGCTCCAGTCCCTTTGCAGGGAGGGAGTGCCCGATTTGGTAGGTAGGTCGGCGCTCGGTCGGCGGGGAAGGCATGAACCAGAAACCAAACAAATTCCTCTTTGTGGTTTTTTGTGCCACTACCCACACCCTGTCCGCAAGCAAACAATCGCTATGGGAGAGGGGCAACGACAGTTGACAACTTGAGAGTAACCGATAGTTCCTACTATTCATAATACAATGCCGTTGCTTTTCAGCTTCCCTTGCAAGGAGTTTGCGTCTCGGACTTTTCTTCCCTTGAGGTTCAAGTCATGAAGGCGGCGCATCGAGTGAGCAGAGAGCAGAGACCCCAGCAAAGAGGTCGAGATTTTCAACCTGGAAATTTCTGCCAAGACCTGATCTCAACATGGGTGTGAAACTCCGTTGGAAGCCGACCAAGTCTCGGATGTCTATCCCGATTGTGACTTTGATTTAGCTGGACCGTCGTTAGGACTGACTTTCATGCCATGACCAAGCTCTTTCCCATTCCGTGTTTCTCCATCTCACAAGATTGTTGATACTAGAGGTAGCTGGAATGGACGGATCTTGTCCCCAAGTGCCAAGACTGGATAATCGGTCAACGGTGAAAATGGTCCATTTTTGCCCAGACCTCGAGGAACTTGCGGTACTTGACGACTTGTTGATACCGCCAAGCAATGCATCAGGCGTCGCCATCAGTCGATTACACTACACCCCTGACCTCTCCTAATCAGCTCTCGATATCGCCCGCAATGACAAGAGCGGCAGGGCATAAATGTAGATATGGATCAATCGAGAGCATCCGACTGGCCGCCTCTTAGTCTCGGCAAAAGCATAATATTTCACCGTTAAAGGAAAGCCATGTCGCCGCTTCCTTCACGCCAAACGACAAAATCCTCACTCCACCTTGTTGGGAAAAAAAAAAAAAAAAAAAAAAAAAAAAAAAAAAAAAAAAAAAAAAAAAAGGGGGCAAAGAACCACTTAAGTTCAATTGTGCAAACAAAAAGACACATACGACCATAGATGGTAGAAAACTCGGGATCCCGTCCGCTCTCCCATAGATAAACTACCAATCGCTTGACTAGTAGTTGGGTCGGTGACGACCAGCGAATCCCAAGTGTTGTATGTTTATTTTTTCTTTTTTGTTTTGTTGTTTTCCTCTTGGACCTTGCTTGTCCAAATTTCATCTCAACTTCCCTTATTCAAAACATCTGGCTCTCTACAGTTTTTGCACATCAACAGAGACCCGTAAATGTTTATTTATATTGAAACATAGGTGGTCTGGAAAGCAATCCCACATCGGAAGTAAAATCCCTAGTACCAGAGTCCAAACATAGTGATATTCATAAATAGTGCCGAGCACTACTCTCCTACAGGATCAGCCATGACTCCTTTATTGATACTGAAAAAAAAAGAGACGATAAAGTACAGCGACTACCTTCCGCATAATTTGAATAACACACGCCTCCCCTTCTCCTCTCACCTGCACCTCGTATTCACACCTCTTCTCCTTCTTCGTCTCCTCCCCCTTCTCTCCTCCCATTCACATTCGCCTCTCTCTTTCCCTTCTCATCCTCCCCACCAGCCCGCACAACCCAAACCAACCCACTCGCCCCCGTCAGTAACCCCCCCGCCATCCAAAACGGCAACCCCACCCAACCGCCGCCCCTCCTCAACCCCTCACTCATTCCCTCCGCTAACACCGGCCCCGCAACCATGATGCCCACCATCTCCAGCCATCCCACCACGCTATTCAGTAGGCCCATGTGCTCCTCGTCCACTAACGCGTTCAACAAGCTTCTTAACGTCGAGCCTAACCCGGAACCTAAAGCGAAGAGGATCATTCCGGATGTAAAACCCAAGCGGGTCGTGGCGAGGGCAATGAGGAGGCAGCCAAGTGTTAGGAGGAGGGAGGAGGCGCGGGCTAAGTTGAGGTCTTTTTGTAGCGGGGTGAGGGGGGTGAGGTTTAGGTGGTAGAAGTGTGTCCCAGACGAGGTGTGAGAGGTATCAGAAGAGAGGGAGGAAGAAAAGGTAGAAAGAAGGGGAGAAGAAGAAGTGCCAAGTAGCAAGGAGGAAACGAACGGCAGAATGAAGAGGAGGGTTATCAGCGAAGTAAAGTTCGGGATGGTGAGCAGATACGAAGCTTCGGACCAGGAGTAGTGGAAGCGCTTCGTGGCGTATTGGAGTAGGAGGACTTGGGCATATTTGCCGATGACGACAAGGCCGAGGGCGAGGGTGAGGATACAGATTCTTTTGTTGGTGGTGAGGAAGTGGGTGAAAGAGCGGAGGGAGGTGGCGAGGTCGATTATCCTGGTGGTGATGGGTTGCTGAGCCTGAGGTTGGGTAAGGGAGGAGAGCGGTGGTGGAGAGGAGGATAACATGGGTTTACCAACGTCTTCGTCGTCTGTGGAGAGATGGGCTGGAATATCTTCATTGTCTAGCCGTTTTGTTGATGAAGCTTGGGCTTTCAGATGTCGAGTTTCGGGGAAGACAAGGGTAGTGGCGGCCGCGAGAGTCATGAGGCCCAGAGAGAGGACGAGTGGAATCCAGGGACTGGTGACCATGAGTGAGCCAGCTATAGGCCCAGAAATCATGCGCGCTGTGAGGTAAGTAGCGTGCATCTGGAAAAAAAGAGTGGCTCGCTCAGCGATGGGGACGATGTCGGATATGAAGGTATAGAGCATGGCTGCAATGATACCTCCGCCTCCGCCGATGCTGATGTGTTGGCTTCGGTCAGACGAGGATATTCCATTGACTCGGGCCAACACCTGGGAAGTGGACTTACAGCAGAAACGAAGAGGTAAGCCAAACCGTCCATATCGGAAAAATGTTCGGGAGGAATACTGCGATGCGCTCAGTTGCAAGTCTACCACCACCAAACTACCAGATCCAAGAGCCAGACATACGGATAGTAGACAACGCAAACATCTGCAACATAGACCCCAACACCGCTAGCGCAAGCACCGGTCTTCGGCCCCATTTATCCGACAAAATACCAAACGGTACCGTCATGAGGATGCTTGGGATGCAGTCAAAAGTGGCCTGCCATCCCTGCAACGTGGCTAGGTAGCTCTGAACATCGTCCTCCTTGCACACTGGATTATCGCTTAGAAGTATGCTCGCCGTGCTGTTTCCGAATCGCGAGACAACATCTGGATGTAAGTTGCGACAAATGATGCTTTCCTCCACAGCGTTAGTTGGTGGCACACTGAGCCCAACGCTGAGGTCAAGGAGGAACATGACGCTGAGACAAAGCGGAATGATTTTGGACTTTAAACGTTTTCTTCGCGCCTCGAGTAGGGAATTATACTGTTTTTGGTCTGCATCGTCGGCGTTGTTGGCATTGGAGTCAACGGCGGTATCGGTAGATGAGGTGGCAATGGTATCTGCTCTTCCACGCGCGGTGTAAGTTATCCGGGGATTGGTATCGATGACGGCGTAGCTGAGTTCTGGAACTGGGGATTGCAATAAAGGGGTGGATTCATTTGTGGAAAGAGACGATGGAGAAGAAGCTCGTTGCTGACCTAGTACCACTCCTTCCTCTTCATAATCTCGGTAAAAAGCCATTTAAGATAGCTAGTAGTGAGATCAAGATATGGAGGAGATGGCATAGGTTAGTCAGTAAACCTTGATTCTAGTTGACATTCCAAGAACTCGGATATGGCAAAGGATAGGTAAAGAAGGGGGATAAAAAAATCATTTTAAGAGCACTGGGGGAGCAACATCAGACTGCATGCATACCTACTGAAGCGGTTGAGTTTTGGGTACAGTGATCGGAACGTTGAGTGGTATGGTACCGTGAGCAACGGCCCAGAACAAGGCGTCGTACTCGTGATAGGGTATCCTATGTCCACACTACACCCTAATTAACCTCGGATCCGGCATGTATGGGCAATAAGTGGCAGATAACGAGTGAACGAATCAAGATTCGGGATACCACAACGGATGTGGCCGCTCAAAAAGGGCGTGGTCTTAGGAACCCACAGTCTGAGGCACAGCATAAACAAAACGGATGTATATGCAGTACCAGTAGATAAAGATGGATGAGATACTCAGCGGTGTATCGGTTGTGAGTCTGGCAGGTGTCGAAGCTTGTGATGAGCTTTGCTCTAAATGAGAGTAAGGAAACCTTGAAAGAATAGAAGAGAGTGAGGAGGTAATAGTGTTTTGTGGCAAGGATAATGGGACTGGGACAACTTGCGCCTATTTTGCGCCTCACTCGCCCGGGGGATCTTCGTGACAATCGGGTCGGTCTGTTTGAGGTAAGATCCTGTGCCTTTGGCTCAGCACTTGAACGTGGATGACAGGATCTAAGACACTGGACATCTTCCTGTGACTGCTGGGGATGTTGTTTCAGCCTTCCTAACTTGGACTCGAGCTCATCCGACCCTTATCGAGATTGATTCTGGAATGAGCGACTGGGAGGACGGGATGTGTTTAGTCATAACCTGTGCGAGATCAAGTCTACGCATGCCAAAGTAATCAGTCAACACGGGCAGAAATTGTACTTGACGACGAAGAGGGTGGTCTGTGGATAGTGTAGCCTGAGCAGACAACTCTTGACAGTGATTCCGTGCATCAAACCCATCCTCACCATCCTTTTGGATCAGTGGGTATCCACGTGGTGCGTATTCCAACGCGGTCTGACCCATGGCTACACAGCCGTTCGTTTGTGGACATGCAACTGGTCTGGTTTTACTCATTAGACACTAAAAAGGCAGCATTGAGTCCGGCAGGCACCCATCTCTTGAGCCAGTCGCTGTCGAAGGAGGAAGAGTGAGAGTGAAAGCTTCCAAGTTCTCCCGTTGTACATAGCTCACAGCCACAGTCCGTCACTTGGTTCGAATCTGGTAATTCAAGGCGTAAAGTGGAAGGTGTGAGCTACCACGTGGATATGAATGAGAGGCACTCGACAGGCTTCTCCTCACACACCTCGTCCCTTCAAACATCAGGTTCCGAACCACGGCATCAGGTGTGCAGGTACGTGCGGCAAATAGGCGCGATAAGAAAAGGAAGAGGCGCCGCCTATCTCTTGTTTATTGCGAGGGGCGCCTTATAGGTGGATAAGGTGTACCACGATCCTGTCATGGGATTAGTCTTGTGGTTTAAAGCGTTATTGGAAGATGGAATCAGGCTGGTCGTGGATTAGATCTTATCACACAAGATGAGATGGATCAGCACAAGGACAAACCTCGTACCTTTGGAGAAGCGAATTATAGACAAACTTTACTGAGTAGGTGTACATCGAAGTAGAGGTCTTCAATCCGGATTCTCCCAAGTTGATATCGATGCGTAAACTCCTGATACCCCCAGAGGAAATACCTCTACTCACCAGAAATAGTTTGAGATAAGAAAAGAAGGCATTTCAGAAATGACGTGACTGAATCCGCTCTACCGACCCCGCGATTGATGGCGTGCTAGTGTAGAGTCTTGGTAACTTAGTCAGGTAGGTCATACGCCCTGGTCAAGGAAGTAGTGTACCTACCTATTGAGGGCACTCCAGGCATCGCTAGTGTATGGATGGATGTTTCAGGCGGCAGCCCCACTGATTGACACGGCACCAACCGCAATCCGCTTGGAGGTGTCCCACGGGCCGCCACGATCTTTACCTGTAGGTCACTTTCCAAGCGGCCCTGGGGTAACGCAAAGGTTCATCCGCTTTGCTCAGCTGTTACTTACTACCTTCTATCAGACGAACTCGAACAGTCAGACAGCTGGTAGTGACCAGTGCAAAATTACTCGAAAAATGTCGCAAGGCAAGGCGAGAGTGATCTCTACCGAGCTTTTGGTGAGTTGATTGACCCCCTTGACCAATGCAGGTCGATGCTGACCATCAGGGATAGCCCAACAGTCAGGCCGAGTGGAAGAGACTAGTCAAGTAAGTCCTTATTCAGCTGGCACAAGCGTAACCGAAACGCTGCTTGTGGTATCTTGCCTGCCTATGCGGTCACGATACTTACCATTTCCGCTCAGGACAACCTACATCGGCCAGGACGGCGTCACCCGGACATGGGAACACGCGGAGCGGACCACTCGTCCCGAGGGTAGTGCCTTTGACGGTGTAAGCGTTGTTGCCATTCTGGAAAAGGACACTGGTAAGTTTCTTCATCTCATCACTAGTGGCATGGTTGATAATTGACCTCGTAGGCCGCGAGATTCTTCTCGAGAAGCAATATCGTCCACCTCTTGATAAGATCTGCATAGAACTTCCTGCTGGCTTGGTTGATACAGGGGAAACAGCCGAACAGGCTGCTGTCCGGGAGCTCAAGGAAGAGACAGGCTATGTTGCGCAAGCTTTGACGACGTCGCCGATCATGTTTAACGGTATGTAATTCGCTTAGTTACCTTGGGTGTCAGTTCTCGCACGCTAATCACCTAGGTTTGTCAGACCCCGGGTTCTGTAACACCAACTTTAAACTAGTCGAGGTCAGCGTGGACATGAGCCTGCCGGAGAACCAGAACTTGAAACCCGAGCTGGAGGAAAACGAGTTTATCGAGGTCTTTCACGTTAAGCTCGACGATTTGTGGGACGAATGTGTCAGATGGGAGGCTCAAGGATATGCGCTTGATGCGCGCCTGGCCAGTTTCGCCAAGGGTATTCAAATTGCGCAGAAATTCGGACTTGTGAGTAGGCCGTAGAAGGAATAATGACGAGAGTCGCGAACATCTCCATCCAGCGTTATTCTCAAGAACACCCGGCACACGTATGCCGTCCACTCGTGTTTCAATTAGAGCTTTCCCTCTCTTCGCAAGCTTTCCCATAAGGCCACCGCCGCAAGGCTTTTGGCGTCTCTTGCGCCCTCGCGCCACAGATCCTGCATCTTGATCAGCTTCAGGGATATCTTCTCACCGTGCTCACGGAGCCCCGTAAGTCGACCCGTCCAGTCACTAAGCGTGTCCCGCGGTACGCGTCTCTCGTGCATGTAAATGGGGATGTATTCGTCGCAGCCCCCGGCAGAAGGGTACATGGCTCGTGAAAGATTACCGTCCTGGATCTTGCCGTCGTCGCTCTTTGGGGACATGCCTGCCATCTCGCTCAGGCACTTCAACTCCGAAGTGGGAATCTTCAAGCCGAGTTCTTCCTCGATTTCCTTTGCAGCAGTCCCAACGAACTGGCCCTCTTGATCTACCATGCCAGCGGGCAATTCAACAACCTCGAGGCTGCCGGCTGGTATCCGTGGCTGCACGGTGAGTACAACGTAGCGCTCGTCGGTGTCGACGGGTGCATCTTCGGGGATCAGGATCACAAGCATGGCGACGCTTGGCCCTCGCAGGAAGACGGATCCAGGGAGTTTCTCTCCGGCGCTGTTGGTCACTTCGGCGAGGAGCTTGAGGAAGCCAAGCCTCTTGCCGCCAAAGAGGTCAAATGACTGAACCGTCACGGAGCGGAGCACATAGGGATCCTGGTGGAAGGGGTGCGAATGGTTCTGGACTTGCAGGCCAAGGGAGTTCTCAAGCGTGGATATCCAAGACTGCGTAGGTACCAGTCCTGTCAGTGTCTCACATGGGACGAGAATAGCCAGGAGAGTGCTCCTCTTACACGAAACGGATGAAATTCGAGAAGCTGCTCCTGGGAAAGACCCGCGGGCAAGGTTATGGGCACCGCGTAGTTTGGGTGGGTGAAGGTCGACATGGTACGGTAAATCCGGATGTTGAAGGGAGAAATCAGGGAGTTTAGCAGTACAGCTCGAGACGATGGCGGCCAGCGATGGAGAAGCGAGAAGGTGTTTCTACTTTGATAGAACGCTGCAAGAAAGATTGGCATGATGAACAAGACGGCGGTCCATCCTCGCATGTTTTGTGCGATCTCCGGTCGGGCGGGGTCCAACTGCACGCGGGGTGCTGACGCCGAGGCCGCCCTCTTACCAGACTGCTGTGAGCCTGTGAGTTGTTAAGGACAACGAAGCAGAAGCACGGTGGTTGCGCGATCCAACCACGACCCGACTAGTAATTGCGGTTGCAAAGTTGTTGTTGATGTTGTCAGCCCGATCTGTGTCGCGTCTCGAATGGACTTTCAGTGTCGACGCCTCGACGGGAGTTGGCATGGGCGGGAGTTCGGCAGCGCAAGCGGGTTGGGTCGGGTGTCCGGCCTTCGTTGGCTCCAGCTTCACCGAATGGTCTGAAGCTCCAGGCTGACGTCAACCGACGGAGCCCTGGAGACGACCTGAATCGGGAGGGGCCTAACGAAGGGCAGTTTGCGGGGCGTTCCTCATCCACCTCGCTAGCTGTGGGTCAGGTCGGGTCCAGTCTGGGTGTCTTTCGTTGCACAGTACGTACCGTTACGGATTGCCGTCCCACCCAGGGTTAGGTATTTTGCATGCAGGGCATTCTAGTGTATACTTCAAGAACGAAGTCGACGATGAAAGATAAACGAACAACATGAATGAAAGCCACGCAGTCCGAGTTGGAGATGCAAGTCTCTAAAACCTCGACTCCACGGCCTCCTGGTCACATGAAGCGTCTTGCGGTTGAGATACACACTTCCCCACAAAATAACGCTCAGGACATGAGGATTCAAACAAATGACGTCGAAACAACTTCAGATGTGTTCAATATAGAGCTCTCATCTCCTCCGTTGAAATCACATCTTTCTCTCTCCGACATCAATCACAGTCAACCCAATTAAAAAAGCACACCAAAGGCTGAATCAAAGCCATCGTATCAAAATAAAACACGCACACGACAACCACACAGCTACACGTCTATCAACATGCCTCGCCAAGTTGACAGCTACTTCGAGCTGCTTGGTCACGACATCATCCACGGCGCCGGTTGGGAGCCGGTAAGTGTTGCTTTTAAGCCTCTGCTATCTGCCTCTAAATAAAAGACCAACACAAAACTCAGACCACCCGTGTCCCACGCGCCGACAAAACCGCCCCCCTGCCTGAGCCCGAGCACGGTCTTGCTATACCGGGACTGCCCGCCAGTGGAGGTTCGTGCCAGGGTCTCACTAGGGGTCCTGAAGCAGGACAGGGTCACGGTTCCAAGTATGGTCCCAAGAAGTTTCGACTTGGTATTATCTGATAGATGAAAATGAAGCTATGAAGGATCAGGCCGCTTATTCAATATCAACTGTGCGGTATCAAGAAGTCTGGTCTTGTGCCTCAGAACATCATGACTGGTTATGAATTTGAAGGTGTAAGCCAAACTGTAAACAAGTCCCCACCTTCCCCTCAAACCCCCATTTCCCCCTCTCTTCTCGCGAATCCCTATTCTCAATCACGTCATTAGATACCTACCTCTACCCCATCCTGTTTGCTTGATTGTAGTGTACATGCTGCCCATAAGTATCCTACAAGTGAATACCGGGCAGGAACCCCAAGCTTGATACCCTCCTTTCCGCCTTGACCTACCTCCATGTGCCAACGCTTTCCAAGCTCCCGCGAACTCTCAGCTCCTCCACTAGAACCCCATTTGTCCTGAAGCTCAACACAAGATCGCTCCCGGTCCCCGTTCAAGTCCACCATTGTACCATGTCCTCCTCCTCCTCCTCTAACCCCTCCACCCAAAAGCCGGCTTCGGTCGACACCTCCCTCCAAGGCTCGCCCACCGGCGCCGCCGCGCTCTTCGCTTCCTCGCACTCTTCTCCACACCCCCTCAAGCTCTACGGCGGGTGGTTCTGTCCCTTCGTCCAGCGAGTCTGGATCACCCTCGCCGAGAAAAACATTCCGCACCAATACATCGAGATCAACCCGTACCACAAAGCGCCCGAGTTCCTCGCTCTCAACCCACGGGGTCTTGTGCCCACCCTCGCAGTCCCCACCTCCACCGACCCCAAGACCGGAAAGGTGAAGGAGGTTAAGCCCTTGTACGAGAGCTTGGTGCTTTGCGAGTATCTGGATGAGGCGTATACGGATGAGAACACGTACGGGGACCGACTCCTCCCGCAAGACGACGCCTACGAAAGGGCGAGGTGCAGACTGTGGATCGACCATATCTCTTCGAGGGTGGTACCGGCTTTTTACCGGTTTATTCAGCACACCCCCGACAAACCCTACACCATCGACGAGATCCGAACCGAGTTCCACGGACACCTGAAAGCGTTCGCTAAAGAAATGCTTGATGCCTCTTCCCCTTCTTCCTCCCCAGGCCCCTTCTTCCTAGGCGACAAGTTTAGTCTAGTAGACATAATGCTAGCGCCTTGGGCGAAGCGGTTATTCCTGATCGATCATTACAAACCAGGCGGAGTTGGGATCCCTCCCAGTGGTCAGAGGGGAAGTGAGGTGGATGAGGAGATCTGGAAGAGGTGGGAGGAGTGGTACAAGGCTGTGACGGAGAGGGACAGTGTCAAGAAGACGTGGAGCGAGGATGAACAGTATGTGGGCGCGTATAAGAGGTATGCGGAGGATACGACACAGAGTGAAGTGGGGAGGGCGACGAGGAGGGCGGGGTTTACCTTGAGTACAAGAGTTTGAACTCGAGAGCTATCTGCAAGTCGTACTAATTAGTACATGTTCACGCGACAGAGAAGTGAAAAGAGCGGCTCAGTTCTCATACTTTACCAATGTGCATAGCAAGGATCGATGAAAATTTTATCATATTCCATGGGACGAGGCCTCGTTCGCAGGCCTCAGCATCTTCAATCACTGCCGCAAATCTAAACTTCAGCGGACTGGTGTCGCTTAAACGCCTAAACGCAGTCGGACCCAACATAACTCTGACAACGAATCTTTTCTCTCAATGCCGCAACCCTCATGCTCTCTATCCCATTTTTTCTCTCTACCCCCCTATTTTGTTGCCCCACACACTCTTTTAGCCATGACAGGGACGTCAATGGCCTGAAATTCTGACTGATTTCCACAGGGAAGTGAGATCCCAGTAGGAAAGAAGGGGGTATAATAATTGCAATGATTCCTCCTCTTGAATACGCTGCTCAAATACCGCGCGAACCTCTCAACTGTACCATGGTGGTGCCAACACAGCGTCGGCTCCCATCTTAGCCTATCCTGGGAAGCAGGCCATGCAAAGAGCAATTATGAGTGAAGAACGGGCCCCATGAACCCAAACCCGTGTCAAAAATGCTGCGAAGGAAAACACTTTGGAAGAAAATGAATGGAACCGTGGATGCTTCTTCAAAGCAGGACAGGGTCAAAATGAAGTATCTACGGCCGGAATGGTTGGGCAGTTTAAAGCCACGATGTTTGTGATGATGGGATTAGAGCTGAAGGGTAAATGCCTTGAAATGGCAAGGGGGGCGATCAAAGGGTTACCCCTTCCAACGGAAGCACCTTTGACCTATCCCCCAGGAAGCGAGCGCGGTATTCGATGATGCCGCGAGCAATCGCGTCGAAGTCTCTGACCTTCTTTGCACGGAATTCGTGAAGGAGCTTGCGAAGACCATCGATGAACCGGGTCTTTTGCTCGCCTTCGAATTCGTCGGCTTTGCCGAGCTCCAAGAGGATGGCATCGTCTGGTAGGTAGAGGGGAAGGAGTCAGCGCGCTGGGAGGGGGGAGGAAGGAGGTCTGATGTTAGCAGCCTACCACAAGTTTTGAGGGGACTTACCAGGAGCAACAATATATTTAATGTGCTGGAACTCGCACGTCTCGTCGCATTGTTCACCAGCAATCTCTGACGGGCAGAGAGGTATGGATGGATTTATTCTGTTACTGTAGGTTAGAGATCTGAGGCCACCGGAAACAGTGTCCCGGTAGCTCGGGTGAAATCGATACGCATGGAAGTAGCGCAGCGGGCTTTCGTAAGGTCTGAACGAGCCTGTCTTGGCCATCGCCGTCTCGTGAGTCTCCTGTGATCTGGTTAACTGAACAGGGTCAGGGACCTCAGGAGAAACGACGTTTACATCTCTTGCAGGTTCCTCCTCTAGCTCCTGAGCAGCTTCACGAGGCTGAGCAACAACCGAGATTTGGTCTGGTAGGGGCGAACTATCCTCGGGAGAGGACTCAAGGGAAGTAGGACTGGACGGAGATGAGTCGATGTCCATGGGTAACGTTTCATCAAGCTTGGCAGGCGTGTTCTCGCGTTGAGCTTCAGAGCCACCACGGCCAGCTTCGTCGACCGGCTGTGATGGCGGGATGCCCTCAGACATATCTGTGGGCTGTCCGGCTTGGTCCAACTCCAACTCTTCGCCTTCATTAAGTGACATGGTGGATGTTGGATCGTCTTGTTCAACGGTCTCTGCAGGAACCGTTTCCTCTTGGCCATCGGCAGCCCGGACCGGGATGGAGGACGACGCTGAAGACTGATCTTCAGCACCTACAAGGGTGCTGCCCGCTTTCAAGGATTCTGAAGGCGCTGATGAAATATCAGGCTTGCAGAAATCTGAGTTATTTTGTAATTCAACGGTAGGATGGGCAGATACTGAAGAATCACCCGCCGATTGTTAGATATAACTTCGAGCAGTACCAGGTAAAATGGCAATCTCCACGGGAATCATGCTCCAAATATAATCATCGCGGACATGACTTACCAGAAGTGGTATCCTTATCTGAACCGTTCGACTGGGTGGGAACTTCCATAGTGTTGATGTCAGGCTGCTCGGGTTCTTCGGACAACCCATTGATCTCGGCTTCCAAGCGAGCTTGTTCCTCTCGCAGCTGCCTCAGCCTGTCCATCTTGGCTTCCAGTGCCGCCTTTGCAGCTGGATTTGGCTTTGCAGGTTCTGCAGTGCTTGGTGAGTTAAGAACAGGTGCTGCTGAAGCGGGCCGTAGGGGCGTTGTGACAGAAGATAGGCCCGTACAGCTTGTCGAAACCGACTGCCGAGTGATAGGCAGCCTGGATCCTCCATCATCCTTCAGCTCCGGGGTGTGCTCAGGCTGCGTAGGCGTTTGCGAACCCGCGGAAGACTTCTTGGCCTTCCTCTTGGCCTCGGCCTCAGCAATCTTCCTGCGCATTTCCTGAATCATCCTTTCTTTGACGTCGAGTTCCGTTTCTCGTCTTCTAATATTCTGCGCTGTTGCAGGTGGATTCGATGCCTGCAAAACGGGGACCGGGCTTGAAACTTGCCGCGACGGCAAGGTGTCTGTCAAAAGTGGGAAATCACGCAATGGCCCGCCACTCTGGAAGCTCCCATTAGCTGTCTGTGTTGGCTGTGAGACATCAGTAGGAGACTCCATGTCCATATCTATGTCCATATCCTCGTCGTCTGAGCCATCAGTCACATCAATGACCAGGGAGGTTTCCTTCCGGATTTGACCGAAAGGTCGTTTAGGCAGACTGGCTGCTGCTGAGGAGTACTCTACAAAATCAGCAGCCACTGGTCTTTTCCGCGGGTTCGCAGGTAGCGGAGGTTGAGCATTCGGGGTTCCAGAAAAGTGAAGGCCGGGAATAGACGGCACCGCCGTGGAAACATTAGCCTGGGCTTGAGGCTGGGGTACGCCATTTTTTAAACCGGTTGAGGCCGCATAATTAGAAATATGAGTGCTTGTAGCCTTGTCAACAAGACCTGGAGTCGCGATTTGTGGTTTGATGTTTGCCTGTCCCTGCTTCTGCGCTTCGCGAGACTTTTGTAGTGCTGCAATCTTTTGCTGTAACAAGAGCTCCTTAGGGCCCAGTTTGGGCTTGGGCGCGGCGGCATCGCCACTCGGCTTTTCTTGCATTGCCGCTGGCGCTGCCTTTGGTTCGGAAAATACGGGGCTCGATTGCGCCACTGCGACAGGAGCAGGTGCCGTTTTGGGGGCGGGCGCAGAAGGAGGTTTCGAGGCAGGGGCAGCTGGAGGCTTTGCGGCCTTCTCAGCCTTTGCGGCCATTAACCGCGCAATACGGTCTTTGCGACTTTCTTCTTTGCCTGGTTGCTCAGTTGTGGAAACGGTATCAGTAACGACAGGTGTCGGTTGTTGCTGTTGTACCTTTGTGGTCCGCGGCGAGGTGGGTACGGGGCTGGACACCTGTTCTTGGGCGGCCTTTGGCGCAGTTGTCGTTGCAGCCTCCGAGGCGGGCTTCGGTATATCAAGATGAAGGTTGTTGTAGAGCTTTTGGACGACCTTCTCATCAATACCCTCTTCTATGTAATTCTGATATTTGACGCCCAGGGGTAGCAGACGCAATATGGCAAGCTGAGCTTCCTTTTGGACCGTTTGTAACGTTTTCGGCGCAGACGAGTTACCAGGAGCAGTTTGGGGTGCAGGCCCCGATTGTTCGGTATTTTTGGGTGTCGCAGAGTTGCTAAAGGAGGATGCGGCAAATTGAAGACCAGGAACAAGAGGCGCTCGTCCATTAGCATTACCGATCGCTTTTGTTCGGTCGGGGACAGATTGCGGTGCTGAGACTTATCAGCTTGTTGCATTCGAACCAAAAAAAGGAGGCAAAAAAAGAAAGGGAGAAAAAAAAAAAAAAAAGACACAGGAAAAAAAGGACGAACAAAAGGAGGCCCTACCTGGCATATTCTTATCGCCATTTTGCGGAGTCGGATTTCCAGATTGCAGCTCCCTTGGCGAGAGGAAAGGCGAGTAGGAGCCGGACCGTTCACGTGTTGAGCCAGGTACACCACCTCGGCCATCCTTCGCCGGTATTTCTCCCTCGTCCTCATCATTTCCATAGAAATTCGCATCCGGAGTATCGACTGCGCTCGTGGGCTGACTCTCGACAGGAGCCGGGACGGGCTTTGAAGCTTTCTTTATATTGGTGTTGACAGTGATGGGAGGGGCAGGCTCATACAGGTCCTCAAACTGACCCTCACTCAACTCCCCCTCCTCTATCTCGATCTCTCTCGTGACGCGAGCAGGCGGCTTGGGGGGAAGCTTCGGCGGGAGATTGGCGGGGCGGTTTACAGGGCCGTTCGAGGAAGGTCCAGCAGCAACGGGTTGGCTTGGACCAGAGTATCCGCCAAAGGCGCGAGGCGCAGAGGGCTGCGTCGGCTGCTGAGGCATCATGGGCGGCGGCTGATAGTTCTGGAATGACGGCGGCGGTCGACCCCAGGGACTGGGAATAGGTGGGACGCCAAAAGGCGTGCTCGTAGCAGGTGGGCCACCAATTCCAAGGCCCGGGATTTGCATCGAGTTATAGTCAAATGCGCCCTGCGAAATGTTGCGATTCGTATCAATACCGAATCCAGGCTGACCCGGAGGTGGGAACAATGGGGCGGCGTTGTATGGGGGAGGAGCTGTAACGGGAGGAGGGACCGAGAAGTTCGGAGGATGCTGATATCCGTACGGCGATTGGGGAGGCGGCTGGGGAGGCGGTTGGCCGTGATACTGGCCGTAGCCGTTGTAGGGTCCTGGGTAGGGAGGATATTGAGACATGACGACGCGAGATGTCTGGAGGCCGCTATGTGGACTTTGTATGGGATTGCGCTAGCAATCGAGCCGCATTCCCAGCGTCGACACAAGATGGTCGTTGGGGCGCGGGGGAAGGAAGGCTTTTCCCTCCTTTGTGGTTGTCGGCCACTGCGACTCCAACTCACGATAGCTTCTTTTTTGCGAAAGAGAAAATTAAAGGGCTTCGGCGCCTTCTTCCACTTTTTGGTCGATGGTCGCACGAGGCGATTGGCAAGTCGCGATGGTCTTTTGTATGATCGGTCAAGCAGACACTTGAGAAGATCAGATGAAGGAGGGCGTATGGATTCCCGTCGTGCGGCGCGTGAAAGAGGTTGAATGAAGATGGAATTTCAATACCGTACACCCTACAATGTTAGTTCGACGACGGACCACGATCCTGTCCGTACGACTGCAGCTTTGGTTTACTCCGTCTCTGCTGTCGGGTCCCAAGGAGACATGCAATCAATCAGATAACAGGCACGAGCTTCACGAGGATGAAGGCGCGCGGGTTATTTGGATTGATGGAGGTCGTGTCCTTGTCTGGAAAAGTCGTGTCGGACGTGGATCCCAAAAAAAGTTCCAGAGTTTGGGTTGCAGCGAGAAAGACTGAAGAGTTCAAAGTGCATGTGCGATGGCCACGCTTTTGGTTCAGTCGGGATTCGAGAATTTGGAGGCTTGTGGCCAACGACGACTGGCGGCGCCGCTTTCACTGCAAAAAACCCGCTAACCAGATATGGCCGATAAGAAGAGAGCACGGGCCATTCCATTTGGAGTGACATCAGGCCGTTGAGGTTGCGACAGCGGCGGAACTGAGCCGACTCTTGCTCACACCCGCGACCTGAGCTATGGACATTGGACACTGCACTTGAGGGCGGTCAGCGATGCCCGAGCTGCCCCTGCCTGCCCGTAAGTGGCTTGTGCTTCGGTTCAATTCTTAGAGGTAGAGGTAGCTCTAGTGGAACGAGCTGAGGGGTCCGTGGAGCGGGGAGGAGCACTGGAGCAGCACTGGGGACGGGAGCGTTTCCTTGAGTGAGCAGCGCTACCGGGCCGGTCGCATGGCCCATGCCACAGCCACCCAATCCCACGGCAGTCGCTGCCCGCCCTAGCGCCAAATCCCATTGTTTACTTCCACTTGACACGCCGTGCGCTCTCCGTCCCAGGCCTGCCAGGGCAACCACCGCCAACCAGGGACATGGCCGCCAATCGCCAACCACGACGGCCATCGGCCACCTCAGCGGTGCCCCTGCTTCTCTACCCACTTGTTGCAGCGGTAGCTCCCCCATCGTCCCCATCGTCCCCATCGTCGTCGACCGCCTTCCTGGAAGTTGTTTGTTTGCTTCCGCCTGACTTTGGTTGGAGATCAAGCTACAGTACACACCTGTCGTGCTCTTCTCTCCAAGACTCTCTCTCTCTCTCCCTCCCTCTCTTCTCAAAACCGAGAAGCCGATGGCTGGGACATTGGTTTCTGGATTCAACACATCTTCGTAATTGAATCTTGTCTCTTCTGGGCGTCTTACTGCTTCCAGCTATATCGCCTTGTCTAATCCTACTTCCAACAAGACGTGCTGCGTCCTTTTCGTCGCCTTCAGCTTCAATCTTACCTTAGCCAGCGCCGTGCAGCCTTTCAGCCTTTCAGCCTTTCAGTATCGTATCCCTCGCATCATTCGGTTGTTTACATGTCTGCGCGCAGTTCACCGACACCACTTGGAGCAGAGCAGAACATCATCGTTGCCAGAATCGCTAGCCCGAGCACGCTTAATGCGTAGCATTTCCATGGTTCCCTTCAGCCCTATCTAATCCTCACCTAGTATTCAGGGCAGCTTCTACACCATGTCGGTACGCAATAATCCTTTCGCGAGGAACAATGCCCCGCCGCAACAGGGACCGAATGCCCCTGGCTTGGGCAGGCCAAGATCCGCCATCTTCACGAACCCAGCGGCGCCCGTGATACCCTCCGGCGGTCCAGCTGCTGGCGCTACTCCGCCTACACCGCCAACCCACATTCGCAGTCTTTCCCATGCCTCGAGCACGCCCACACTCGTTCAGCCGATACCGATACGCCCAGGGCAAAAGAGCTCCCTGCCCGGCTCGACTACGTTTGCCCCGTCCTTCATCAAGACGGACGACATGAGGAAGCATGCCGACATAGTCAAGGGAATCGAAGGCGAGGACTTCTCGGGCAAAAAGTATGTCTGGCTTAAGGATCCCCAGGCAGCCTTTGTCAAGGGATGGGTCGTCGAAGAGCTCCCAGAGAACAAGCTGTTGGTCCAGTGCGATGATGGAAGCGTAAGCATAGCCTCTCTATAATATGTGCTTCAGGCGCAATGTTCAACCAACTGACTAACTCGCCTGATAGCAACGGGAGGTGGATGCCGAAACGGTCGACAAAGTCAACCCGGCCAAGTTCGACAAGGCTAATGACATGGCCGAACTGACCCATCTGAACGAGGCCTCAGTCGTCCACAATCTGCATACGAGATACCAGTCCGACCTCATATACACATACTCCGGACTCTTCTTGGTTGCTGTCAACCCATATTGTCCTCTCCCCATCTATACCAACGAGTACATTAACATGTACAAGGGGAGAAACAGGGAGGACAACAAGCCCCACATCTTCGCCATGGCCGACGAAGCTTTCCGCAACCTTGTTGATGAGCACGAGAACCAGAGTATCTTGGTCACCGGCGAGTCAGGTGCTGGCAAGACGGAAAATACAAAGAAAGTCATCCAATACCTAGCCGCTGTGGCGCACCCAGACCCTTCGGGCAGGACTAGAGGTTCTCAGCATTCGAATCTGTCGGCGCAAATCCTCAGGGCCAACCCGATCCTAGAAGCCTTTGGTAACGCTCAGACAGTGCGAAACAACAACTCCTCGAGATTCGGCAAGTTCATCAGAATCGAGTTCTCAAGCAACGGCTCTATCGCGGGTGCTTTCATAGACTGGTACCTCCTTGAGAAATCTCGAGTGGTCCATGTCAATGCCAACGAGCGCAACTACCACATCTTCTACCAGCTGCTCAAGGGCGCAGATCGGAAGCTTAAACAAGAGCTTCTGCTGGATAGCATGGATGTAAAGGATTTCACTTATACACGGGATGGCCATGACACCATTACAGGCGTGTCTGATAAGGAGGAATGGGATTCGCTCATTGAAGCCTTCTTGGTGATGGGTTTCTCTGACGAAGAGCAGGTCGCAATCCTCCGAACGATTGCGGCCGTCCTCCACCTGGGCAATATCACCGTGGTCAAGGAGAGCAGATCGGCCGATCAAGCGCGGCTTAACCCTGATGCCAAGGCGATTGCCGGAAGGGCTTGCAAGCTTCTCGGCGTACCTTTGGAACCCTTCCTCCAGGGTTTGCTGCATCCCAGGGTAAAGGCTGGTCGGGAATGGGTCGAAAAGGTGCAAACCCCAGAGCAGGTTCGTTTGGCCATAGACGCTCTTGCCAAGGGTATCTACGAGCGAGGTTTCGGTGATCTTGTAGCGAGAATCAACCGCCAGCTCGATAGGACCAGCATGGGTCTTGACGACACGCGCTTCATTGGTGTTCTTGATATTGCTGGCTTCGAGATTTTCGAGACCAATAGCTTTGAACAGCTCTGCATCAACTACACCAACGAAAAGCTTCAGCAATTCTTCAACCACCACATGTTCGTCCTCGAACAGGAAGAATATGCCAGGGAACAAATCGAGTGGAAGTTCATCGACTTCGGAAGAGACTTGCAGCCCACCATTGACTTGATCGAGCTACCAAATCCGATTGGTATTTTCTCTTGCCTCGACGAGGACTGCGTAATGCCCAAGGCCACCGACAAGACTTTCACTGAGAAGCTGAACTCCTTGTGGGATAAAAAGTCGCAAAAGTACCGCCCTTCTAGGCTTGGCCAAGGCTTCATCTTGACTCATTATGCTGCCGAGGTCGAGTACTCGACCGAAGGGTGGCTGGAGAAGAACAAAGATCCACTCAACGACAACATCACACGTCTCCTGGCCGCTTCCACCGACAAGTACATGGCCAACCTGTTTTCCGATTGTGCTGATCAAGATGATGAAGCTGGAGCTATGCGTAGCCGCGTGAAGAAGGGACTTTTCCGAACTGTTGCGCAGAGACACAAAGAGCAGTTGTCCAGTTTGATGACACAATTGTATTCTACCCACCCGCACTTTGTGCGTTGCATCATTCCCAACCACAAAAAGAAGCCAAAGCAATTCCAGAGCCTTCTTGTTTTGGACCAGCTTCGTTGCAATGGTGTGTTGGAGGGTATTCGTATCGCTCGAACTGGTTTCCCCAACAGGTTACCGTTTGCCGAGTTTAGACAGCGTTATGAAGTTCTTTGCCCGAATATGCCCAAGGGGTATGTCGAGGGTCAGGCAGCCGCAAGGATTATGCTCGACAGGTTCGGTCTCGACAAGTCACTGTACCGTGTCGGCTTAACCAAGGTCTTTTTCCGCGCGGGTGTGCTTGCCGAATTGGAAGAGAAGCGCGATGCCATCATCACCGAAATCATGGCCAAGTTTCAATCTCTGGCGCGTGGCTACATTAAGAGGAGGATTGCCTACAAGCGCCTTTACAGGGCAGAGGCAACCAGGGTCATACAGAGAAACTTCCAAGTCTACCTAGAGCTGAGCGAGAATCCATGGTGGCAGCTCATGGTCCGCATGAAGCCTCTTCTCGGTGCCACAAGAACTGCAACAGAGGTCAAAAAGAGGGATGAAATGATTCGTCAGCTTAGTGACCGGATGAAGCAGGAAGCCATGGATCGACAGAGGCTGGAGGAGGAGCGTCGCAATGTTCATGCCGAGATGCTGCGAATCCAACAAACCCTCGAGAGCGAGCGTGCTTTGGCGCTTGACAAAGAGGAAATCTTCAAGAGACTGCAGCTACGTGAAGCCGAGCTTGAAGACAAACTGGCGGGCGCTTTGGACGACCAAGAGCGCATGGAGGAGCAAATGGACGGTCTCCTTGAAGCCAAGAAGCGTGCTG